TTAAAGACAAAAGGTTTTTATGGGTGTTTAGTTTTGGTAAGCTGGTGCTGTCGGTGTTGATGGACTCAGAAAGGTGTGTCTTATTGTACTGTATGTGCATAATGGTGAATACATGGTGTGTGTGTGTGTGTGTGTTTGTGTTTGAGTGTTTTAAATGTATGTTCCTGATGTGGCAAAGCACAGAAAATAAACAGAATTTAAAGTATTGAAATGGCTTGATGAACCCAGTTTTCTCTCCTGTGTCCGATTGTTTCCTGTTGGAATAGGAAGATGTACACAACATTCTAAACTAGTTGTTTTTGTAGTTTAATTTCAATAAATGGTGTGGCGAGGACATTTTCATGGTAGTTTTATAGTGCAGTGATAGTTCTCAATTCAAAACATTAAGGAAAACGGACTTATATTTTCTCTTCTATGCTCACAAAGGCTGCATTAATTTAATCAAAAAATACAGTAATATTGTGAAATATTACAATTTCAAATAACTGTTTTCTATGTGAATATATTGTAAAATATGATTTATTCCTGTGTTGCAAAGCTGTATTTTCAGCATCATTACTCTAGTCTTCAGTGTCACATGATGAAATGGGATGTTGTTGAGATTCTAAATGAGCTGTTTTTGCAGTTTAATTTCAGTAATTAGTCATTTTTGTGTTAGTTTCATAGTACAATACTCATATGGCTCATATTTTCTCTCTCAGCCCAATTACTTTGAGAAACGTTATTTTGAATGCTTGAAACACACCATGATCCATCTGCTTTCAGATGAAAGGATGACTTCTGTACATGATATAATCATTTAGAAATGATCCCAACGGTGCAGTCAGGAAGCGTTTCTTATAGAAATGTCATCCGGTGTGTAATATTCTGTTCAGATCCGTCACAGCGTTTGCAGCTCTGATATCACTACGTTTACATGCAACCAAATAATCCGTTTGTAATCGGATTGACGGCTCAATCGGACTGAAAAGCCTTCATGTAAACACCTTAATCGATCCGATTGAGCTCGATCGGAATGAAATTTCGATCGGATTGAAGGGGGTGGTTTATTCCTTTTCTAATACGATTGAGAGTGCATGTAAACACTCGATCGGATTGAACCCCGAAACTGAAAGGACTGTGCATGTGCAATGACGCGTAAAGAAATAGCGTAAAGACGCATGATGCGCTAGAACGAACGGCTCTTCCTTTTGAATAAAGTGTTGTATAAATGCGTGTCCTGTCATTATAAAACTCTCCTTTCACTCGGCAACTGTGAAGTGGAGCAGGACAACCTCCCACCAATGCTTGTTTTGGATTCTCATCCACAGGCAACCCGTTTTGGGCGCAGGGAAGGGCATTTTTACTGCGTGATAAATATGAGCAGCAGGGCACAGTGGTTAATATGTATATTTATCCATAAATGGATTCATATAGCCTATATTTCACATATTATGATCCATAATATGGTTAAATATTAATTCTGCTGTTAAAAACAAATAAAGAAACCTTGTAGGAGAGTGGTTATTATGTGCAAACAGTGAGAAACTCTATATTTGTGCAGTGTGCGCACAACCCCAATCTATTCTGATTTGAAGCTTGTGACATATAAATGCACGCACATCAACCCGATCACTTTATTTAGCATGTAAACACTACATTCAGATTCAACAATCGGAATGAACTCAATCCGATTGAACCAAAAATTGTGCATGTAAACGTACTTGTGATTCAGCTCTCATCTCTAGTATTTGAAGCGCACCGAATGTCTGTATTTCTAACAGAAGTATTTGTGTTCGTCCAAATAAAGGCCATGGGATTGAAACCGAGCAGTCTGGGAGAAGGAGACGGGTTCAGAAAACAGCGTCTGATGATGTGGGAAGGAATGGATGGATTTCTTCCCGATGAAAGCGTGCCTCAGATGTGTCTGTCTGTAAGTGAGAATGAGCGGCCGTAAGATCTGGCCGTCGGATTGCTCTGTCTTTTTCTTTAATACCGTCTGAAGTTCTATTGTGTTTTATAAAGTCTGAATTAAGCCTCAGCCATCTTGAGAGGAAATATGTTGACGTCTACAGGGTCACTTCTTCTGGTTCTTCAAAGAACGCTCTTCTTTTTAAGATCCAAGTTAATATATAATATTTGAAGATTCCTTTGTATGTTGCATTTGGTGTTTAGGTAGTCTTCCTTCTTGGCAAAAATGTGTTTTGGAACATACTAGGTGGTCTGGGCTGGGCAAAGCTACACTGTAAAAAATGATTGTGATTTTAACAGTAAAAGACTGTAAAAATGCTACAGGAAAAACCTGTTAACTGGTTAACAGTAATTTCCATACTATATTCAGTGAATAAATGTAATTACATTTAATGTAATTTTACAGTAAAATACTGTTCGAAAATACAGTTTTTAGAAGTGAAAAAGAAAAAGTCATTGTATAATTTACAGTGACAAACCGTAAATTGACACTCCCAGAATTCCTTGCATGACACTTCATATTTGATGTTTTTTTTGTTGAAATAACATGTTTCTTAGTTTTTTCTTATTAGTTGTGTACATTAGGGTTTAATCTTACATCTAATGCTGTTAAATTAATGTTTATTGCATTATTTCAGTATCGTGTGTGTCACCATGATGGGGTTTAGTGTTTGTGTGAATGACACTGTACACCTTCTATATATAAGTATTGGCCTCCTCAGCTCGTAGAAAAGCTGTTTGTGATGAGCTTTGGTTCATCATGTGACTTTCTCATCACCACCAGTTTTTAGTGGTTATCAGTGCAGGTTCAAAACAGATATTAGTACTTCAATATGTTGGTTTATTAAAATTACATCAGTTAACGAAATACAGTATTTTATTGTGAATTTAAGTTAAGCCTGTAAAACCTAAAATGTTGCTACCGTATTTTTTACGGTGAAGGTATTTTACCGTAAATGTCACAGATTTTTTTTACAGTGTAGTAGACCATCTTGGATCAGCAACAAGTCAGTTGGTTATACTGTACCAGTTTAAGATATTCAAGGTGTTTTTAGAGCAATAATGATGTGTCGGATTGGTTGAGGTGCACAAACAAACACATTAATGTTTTGAAAGTTTTACAAAATAGTTTACTTATATCAGACTCTTGGGAGAAAATATTTTACCATAGCAAAATGTCACAGAGAACAAGAAAGTCATGTAGGTTTGGAATGATATGTGAAACCGGAGCACAAAACCTCAAAAGTCGGCACAAAAGTCGCTGGGGTATATTTGTAGCAACAGCCAAAAATACATTGTATGGGCCAAAATTATAGATTTTTCTTTTATGCCAAAAATCATATTCCATGAAGATATTTTGTAAATTTCCTACCGTAAATATATCAAAACGTAATTTTTGATTAGTGACATGCATTGCTAAGAACTTCATTTGGACAACTTTAAAGATGATTTTCTCAATATTTAGATTTTTTTTGCACCCTCAGATTCCAGATTTCAAATAGTTGCATCTCGGCCAAATATTGTCCTATCCTAACAAACCATACATCAATTGAAAGCTTATATATTCAGCCTTCAGATGATGTAAACATCTCAATTTCGAAATATTGACCCTTATGACTGGTTTTGTGGTCCAGGGTCACATATGAGGGTGTACAAGTCACTGTTTTGGAACATGGTAGATGGTTTCTAGCTGGTCATTGGCTGGTCCATGCTAGTAGACCATCTTGGACCAGCAACAAGCCACTTGGTTATACCAGTTTGAGATATCCAAGGTGTTTTTGGAGAATGATGTCTGTTGAACATGTTAATGAGCCAGTGCTGATGTGTCAGGCTGGTTGAGATGCACAAACAAACACATTTGTGTTTTAAAACATTAATGTTTGGTCCATGTTTGGTCTTTGGACCAGCAACAAGCCACTTGGTTATACCAGTTTGAGATATCCAAGGTGTTTTTGGAGAATGATGTCTGTTGAACATGTTAATCAGCCAGTGCTGATGTGTCAGGCTGGTTGAGATGCACAAACAAACACATTTGTGTTTTAAAACATTAATGTGTTTGTTTGGTCAACTAACTTTGTCCAGCCAATGACCAGTCTAGAGTATCTAGAAACTATGACTGAAGAACTTGTGAAGAACTACAACTGGTTTATCATCTGTGAACACCACACCTTGAACAGCACACCGAGTTCAATTACTCAATAACCCCAATTAAATTACCAGTTTCTTTTTTCAGCTAAATGAACATTTCTGGTAAAAAAATATTTTCGGTGGGCCACTAGTTAAAATACTTTCTATTAAACCAGATCAATAGCAAAGTCAGCTATAAGTAAACCATTTGCAGGTTGGTTTCCAGAAAATGTAGAAACACTTTGACACTTTGGTGGTTTTGATGGCATCTCAACCAGCCTGAATCATCAGCACTGACTCATTTGCTAGCCATTAGCTTCTTGTTCTCTGAAAAAAACCCATCTTAAACTGGTATAAACAGCTGTCTTGATGTTCACAAGTTCTCCAGTTTCTTTTACAGTTGAACAAACTTTACATATTGCAACTCTGGGATCATTTTGGACATGGGAGAAGCAGTTTAGACTGAACATTTTTTGTTTTTTGTTTGTTTGTTTTTTCTCATTCGCCGAATATTTTCGGTCAGTGAAATTTTGATTGCAACTCTGGGATCATTTTGGACATGGGAGAAGCAGTTTAGACTGAAAATTTATTGTTTTTTGTTTGTTTTTTCTCATTCGCCGAATATTTTCGGTCAGTGAAATTTTAGCGCATTACTAAATTTAACATAAAAAAGTATGAGTAACTTACAACAAAGTTTGTTGGTAGGCCTATATTTGTTGCAATTTAATGAACACTATACCTACATTTTTCATCATTTACTTTGTTTAAATATATTTTTAGTGTTCCACAGAGGAAGAAAATGATGTAAATGATGACAGAATGATCATTTTTGGCTGAGCTGTTATTCCAACTCCATTGGCATCAGATAAACCAAGGTCATATTTCATTCACACTGTCTGAATGAATGAAAAGAAAAAACAGTATTGTATAAATGTTCCAGTTTTATTTGAATCGGTGGGTACAAAGAGAAAAACAAAATAACGCAAAACCAAACACCAAAGGTGAGAATCGGGAGTCGGTGCGACCCCCGGTCACTGTGTGCAATGCGATGCGGTGCGACGTTCACATCCTACGCTCGTGTGTTTGTGCGAAATGTGAAATGCGTGGACATTCATTAAGGACAAAGACACGTACACACTGCGCTACATCGGTTATCAAAACAACTGTTAACAGAACAGATGCCATGGTCTCACATGTTTTAGTTCAGATGTCCCTCTATTATATTCTGTATATATATAATACTGTGTGTATATAAAAGATCTCTTAATTACAAGTCAGGTCTCCCTATAGTCATTATTGCAATGATTTATTATCTAAGATGCTTTATAAAAGAATCGTGTTCAGCTCTTACTACTGGTCTATTTACATTTCAGTCCAAAAAGCAAGCGGCTCCCGGTGGCATCTTGAAGAAATCCTGTCGAGATGATAAAAGGTGTTTCCGTCGTCCCCCTTCGTGGCTCCTGAGAGAATATCTACATACGGTTTAGTAGCTAGTGATTGTGGACCATGTCGTAAATACTACGTGATTTAATACAGGTTCGCTGATGTCGTACGGCTAATCAGGGAAGTGCGGCTAATGTCTCTACATTTACAGTTTACTGGTCGTGATTTTTCATCTCGTATGCGATGATGTTCGTCCCCAAAGTTAGGATAAGGCATCATGGATCCTTGATGCTCGCCAAGCGTTCGTATCCATGCCGTCCTGGCTCGTTTACAATTGTTGACGTCTTTTCCGAGGGCTGAAAGAGTGCGTTATCAGGTTAGTCGCGTTCGAGCCGGCGACGGCGTGCTTCTGCCATGGGTTGCGTGAAATCTGAACTTCGATTGAGGGGTAAGATGGTTTAAGGCACAAGGTGAGTTTTTGGTTTCTATGGGAGGTCGGAGGACACCACGGCGAGGGCGGGGCCATGTCGGAAGGAGGGGCCATAGTGCACGGCCTTAGGGCAGTCTGGCGTCAGGACACGCCCATTTCCCCCCAGGCTGCCTGTGATAGACAAGCGGGCCTTGTTTCTCATGGCTTCCGAGAAGGTGAGCTAGAGAAGGGGGTGGGACGAGAGGCGGAGTCAGAATACTTGGAACTCTCTGGGGGGAGGAAACAATATATGCAAATGACACAGTGACGTCACAACGGAACCACGCGACACATTCACATCGACAGAACGGAGAAAAGCTCAAGGCCGCCACACACAAATACAGAAAACATCTCAAAATGTACAACATGTCTAGACATCTGCATTTCTAACGCCAGCATGCAGCTCTTCGCTCGTGTTCCCGCTAAATCTAGGGATTTAATTGTACAGTGTCCCGTAACAGTCCACACTTTATATGTTCATACTGCTAATGTTTCGTAAGCAGGGGTTTGGAGGTCAGTCGGATATTATTCAGTATAAGTACAGCATTATAGATTGGTTTGTTGATGTCGCTAACAATAAAAGAAAGAGAAACACAACCAAACATCATTAAACCAACAGCTGTTTGATCTATAATGCCTTACTCGTACCAAATAACTCATTGCGCATAGCTGCTGTCTATAGCAGCGGATCTCAGCTGGTTTTGGTTTTATACCAAAGTTGTTTATTATTTTTAACCCTTGTATTATGTTGCACGTCAGTTCGGGTTTTGAGTTGTCGGAAATACTGGTTAACTCATATGGTTAACCAATACTGTAAAAACTGATTTAACATATTAATAAAAATATAATTATAATACAAAAAAAAAAGTAAGATAATTTGATCTACTACGTGATTTTCACTAAGAATTGAACCCATGATTTTGGCGTTGCGAGTGCCATGCTTTTATTCACAGATTAAGTGCTTTTCCACACTTCGGTTTAAAAAACATAACTGTTAAAAAAAAGAAGTAATGGTACTGTTTATAAAATGTACAGCTTGCGGGGAAAAAAAGTTTGTAAAAAAAATTAGATACAGTTTTAAAAAGACATGCATGTTTATTTTTCAGTTTGTAATGTGTAAGAACTATTCATGTTAAAGATTTACTATTTTACATGGTGATTTATAGAAGATTTACTATATTTTTGTTTTGTTTTCCATAGTGTGATTTTTGGTGAATTATATTGAATTCATTTAGAGTCCTAAAAATCCTGCCTAGAATTTTTAATGTAATGCAAGGGTTAAACCGTGTATTTGTTGCATAAATACCAGCCTAAGTGGCTATTTTATTAGCAAAAGACTTTTGCAAATTTATGCCAAAAAGTTGAATTCAATGCTTTTTAAAAGTGAATTGATTTATTAAGAAGATTATGTGGTTATTTGCATGCTATTATTTGCATTGAGCATTGCATTTGTCCATCAAAACGAGCCAGTTGAGAACCGCCGGTCTATAGCAGAGAGCTAACATCTCTAAATAACAAATAAACGAGCAGCATTCCTTTATAAAGTGTTTGAAGGTTGCATACCAAGATGTTTGGTTTGCTACTAATTTGTGCTCCTAATGCAATATGGCAGCTTTGCCCATGTGTGTGTGTGTGTGTGTTTGTCATCGTGTGCCGTTAATGCAGGTGTCTGAAACAGAAAGCCAACAGTGCAAAAACACCAGCGACTGCAGCCAGGAAGACCAAACCAATGCAATCCCAACACGTTCTAGTCAAGGCAGATGCCATACGAAAAAACAAAGAAAAGCGACAGAAATGAAGGGGTCTCTTTCAGAAGTGAACAAAGCAAGAAGGAACGCAAGTAAACGGAGGGATGGGAAGCTGTCACAACATTAGCAGACGTCTGCTGCAGCTATATGACAGACAAGGCTCAGGCCGAACCCCTACGACCGCAAGCAGGCTTTCTGTCCTACCCCTATATCTTTACTGCGTCAGAGCCGTACACGTTGTATCCCTCTCTATAAGTGGCTAAGTTCTGCACACTGTGCGTTGGGCTGGGAGCGGGGCTAAAATTCAGTTCGGCCGATTCCACCTTCAGTTTCTTGGCCTCGGCGCGGGACTTATAGCAAAACTCGACCAGGGCCACCATCATGGCCAGACCCAGGCCGCCCACCAGGATGTAGAAAACTCCCGCCACGTTGCTCAGGCTCAGCGCCTGCGAGCTCTTGTCCTGGAGCCGAGAGGGATTCGAGGGAGAAAAGAGAGCGTTAGAGAGGAAAGCGGCATGTTTACACATGACAGATATTCAATTACAGTTCATAATATGATACAATCAGCTTGAATTACTGGTGCCATGGATTTAACAGCATTACATTGTTCTGTTACACACAGAATGAAATCCAGTGTCATTTAGATTTTAAACATGAACTGAAGAGCTACGATTTAAATGAAATTATAATCGTTTTCGGCAGTTTAGCTTAGTTTGCTTGGTGATTTCTAAATAGTTGTATTTTTTACACTTCTATAAATATGTTTAAATGCATTTAAAATATCAAACTGGGAAAAATATTTATTTACAGCAAACTATTTAATTATCTAAATAATAGTTCATTAAAATAATAAATATTTCTCGTGTTTTGAAAAAGAAAAGAAACTAAATGTCTATTTTACACAGTATATATTTTTCATTAATGTCAATTGTTTAATTATTATGTACATAATTTGTATAATGAATTATTTTAAGTATTAAGGAATAATTCATTATTTAAATAATAATTAAAACAATTTTTTTCATTTTGATCTATGCATTTTAAACATATTTTAAAATTATTATTTAAATAATATATATATTTTTTCATATTTCTCTTATCGTTTTGTCGATCTGGATCAGCATTAAAAAAAGGCCCCATATTATTTTTATTTAAATTATAATTAATTCAGATGATTAATTATTTAAATATATAAAAATATATTAATAATTGTTTACTTGAAAATTATTATAATATTTAAAAATATTTAAAAAATCTATATTTTGCTCTCTATAAGTTGGCATGAAATAGCGGTATGAAATCTTTTACAACCATCAATTATGTTGACCTTAATCAGAATTTAGAGAAAGAAAAAAAAACCAATCTTATACAAAAAATACAATCTTATATTTATTACATTTGTTTGTATACTTCTATAAAAATGTTTCAAATGCATTTAAATTACAAAAATCTATCAAACTGGGGAAAGTATTTAATGAAACTAATTTAGAGAAAGAAAAAAAAACCAATCTTATACAAAAAATACAATCTTATATTTATTACATTTGTTTGTATACTTCTATAAAAATGTTTCAAATGCATTTAAATTACAAAAATCTATCAAACTGGGGAAAGTATTTAAAAAAAGAAGTAATGGTACTGTTTATAAAATGTACAGTTTGCGGGGGAAAAAAGTTTGTAAAAAAAATTAGATACAGTTTTAAAAAGACATGCATGTTTATTTTTCAGTTTGTAATGTGTAAGAACTATTCATGTTAAAGATTTACTATTTTACATGGTGATTTATAGAAGATTTACTATATTTTTGTTTTGTTTTCCATAGTGTGATTTTTGGTGAATTATATTGAATTCATTTAGAGTCCTAAAAATCCTGCCTAGAATTTTTAATGTAATGCAAGGGTTAAACCGTGTATTTGTTGCATAAATACCAGCCTAAGTGGCTATTTTATTAGCAAAAGACTTTTGCAAATTTATGCCAAAAAGTTGAATTCAATGCTTTTTAAAAGTGAATTGATTTATTAAGAAGATTATGTGGTTATTTGCATGCTATTATTTGCATTGAGCATTGCATTTGTCCATCAAAACGAGCCAGTTGAGAACCGCCGGTCTATAGCAGAGAGCTAACATCTCTAAATAACAAATAAACGAGCAGCATTCCTTTATAAAGTGTTTGAAGGTTGCATACTAAGATGTTTGGTTTGCTACTAATTTGTGCTCCTAATGCAATATGGCAGCTTTGCCCATGTGTGTGTGTGTTTGTCATCGTGTGCCGTTAATGCAGGTGTCTGAAACAGAAAGCCAACAGTGCAAAAACACCAGCGACTGCAGCCAGGAAGACCAAACCAATGCAATCCCAACATGTTCTAGTCAAGGCAGATGCCATACGAAAAAACAAAGAAAAGCGACAGAAATGAAGGGGTCTCTTTCAGAAGTGAACAAAGCAAGAAGGAACGTAAGTAAACGGAGGGATGGGAAGCTGTCACAACATTAGCAGACGTCTGCTGCAGCTATATGACAGACAAGGCTCAGGCCGAACCCCTACGACCGCAAGCAGGCTTTCTGTCCTACCCCTATATCTTTACTGCGTCAGAGCCGTACACGTTGTATCCCTCTCTATAAGTGGCTAAGTTCTGCACACTGTGCGTTGGGCTGGGAGCGGGGCTAAAATTCAGTTCGGCCGATTCCACCTTCAGTTTCTTGGCCTCGGTGCGGGACTTATAGCAAAACTCGACCAGGGCCACCATCATGGCCAGACCCAGGCCGCCCACCAGGATGTAGAAAACTCCCGCCACGTTGCTCAGGCTCAGCGCCTGCGAGCTCTTGTCCTGGAGCCGAGAGGGATTCGAGGGAGAAAAGAGAGCGTTAGAGAGGAAAGCGGCATGTTTACACATGACAGATATTCAATTACAGTTCATAATATGATACAATCAGCTTGAATTACTGGTGCCATGGATTTAACAGCATTACATTGTTCTGTTACACACAGAATGAAATCCAGTGTCATTTAGATTTTAAACATGAACTGAAGAGCTACGATTTAAATGAAATTATAATCGTTTTCGGCAGTTTAGCTTAGTTTGCTTGGTGATTTCTAAATAGTTGTATTTTTTACACTTCTATAAATATGTTTAAATGCATTTAAAATATCAAACTGGGAAAAATATTTATTTACAGCAAACTATTTAATTATCTAAATAATAGTTCATTAAAATAATAAATATTTCTCGTGTTTTGAAAAAGAAAAGAAACTAAATGTCTATTTTACACAGTATATATTTTTCATTAATGTCAATTGTTTAATTATTATGTACATAATTTGTATAATGAATTATTTTAAGTATTAAGGAATAATTCATTATTTAAATAATAATTAAAACAATTTTTTTCATTTTGATCTATGCATTTTAAACATATTTTAAAATTATTATTTAAATAATATATATATTTTTTCATATTTCTCTTATCGTTTTGTCGATCTGGATCAGCATTAAAAAAAGGCCCCATATTATTTTTATTTAAATTATAATTAATTCAGATGATTAATTATTTAAATATATAAAAATATATTAATAATTGTTTACTTGAAAATTATTATAATATTTAAAAATATTTAAAAAATCTATATTTTGCTCTCTATAAGTTGGCATGAAATAGCGGTATGAAATCTTTTACAACCATCAATTATGTTGACCTTAATCAGAATTTAGAGAAAGAAAAAAAAACCAATCTTATACAAAAAATACAATCTTATATTTATTACATTTGTTTGTATACTTCTATAAAAATGTTTCAAATGCATTTAAATTACAAAAATCTATCAAACTGGGGAAAGTATTTAATGAAACTAAATTATTTAATTATTATTTAAATAATTTAAAAAATATTTTAAATTTAAAAAAATAAAATAATGGTTTAATTAAAAATTATTTATAATATATTTTAAAACATAATTTAATACAATCTGGCTCTCTCTAAAATGGCATGAAATCGCTTTATGAAATGTTCTACAGCCATAATGTGTTTCTACCAACTACCCCTGAAGTTAATTGAGTGAACAAGTGAATATTATGGCACTGTAGTCTTTCTAATAGTGCAATATTCTCTCCATTTTAATTAACTCATCCATTACACTGTAACAAAGCTGCATTCTACAAAAAAATGAACACTATTATGAAGTCATGAAAGTGTCTTACTGTAATCATGACATCATGGTGCAGCATTCTATATTGTGATGTCACAATGTTGCATTCTAAAGGCTCTACTTTATTTGTCCTGAGTTAAGAAAATCTTAAAAAATCTGGATGGTGATGACAGCGATATTTTAAGACTGTCGTCATCTTTTTCTTTCTGAAAACAATTCACATTGATTTCATGAGAGTATTTGTGTTTTTCAGAGCTGCGGTTTTCAGGTTTGCTTGCGGTTTTCCGTCCGGAAACTGACCTTACTTCCCGAGTCCTTGGGTCCGCACTCGCCCTTATCGTACCACCATTTATTTTTGAGTTTGTCTAGCACTCCTGCTTCACTCAGTTTCAACACCGCCAGGTTTACCGGCGTTCTTCTCAGAGAGAATAACATAAATAACATCATAGGCCATGTTATTTTATGTTATTAGATTACAATACATCTTGGCACACAGCAGCACAGGAAGTGATGAAGCCGAGGTCCCATCGAGTACACGTGTGTGAGCTCATACGTGTGTGTGTGTGTGTGTGTGTGTGTGTGAGGCTGAGCCACAGACGTATGGATGGGATCTCGCTCCATCGCTTCAGGCAACAGACACATACTGCCCTGATTTCATTATCAAAACACAAACAATTACTGCTAATCCAGAACTATTGGCTCATCGCAAACAGCCCAGAGCGCAGATAGTGTGTGCAGACAGGCCCACATTCAAAATATAACATATTTTGGGTTTCTGATGATTTAACAACAAGCATAAGTTATCAAATAAAGTGATCATCAGGTTTTGTGAAATTAATGTTATTTTACATATATATATAGATAAAACATGTAAAACATGTTATGCATGTGCATTTATTTATTTAAATTTTTTTTTTTTTTGAAAGTTTTTGTTATAAGAAATAGTTACAAAAGTATTATTCAAATAGTTATAGTTTATAGTTATAAAATTATATATATATATATATAATGCATGTACATTTTATACTTTTTTCTAATTTAATTTTTATTTAACATGACTCAAATTGTTTATTATAATAATTTGTATTATAATTTTTTTTTTCGCTTTTGCATTTTTCAGTAATTGTTTTTACTTTTGTTTTTTTTAATAACATAATACATAATATATAATAGGTGGAGCTGGGGAAGGTGGAGGGTTTCTGAAGTGTGCTGCAACTGCTAATGCAAACACAAAGTAAAATATGAAATACATGAAATTTAAGACTTAAAGTTTATTCAAAAATGAAGGCTCTTCTGAATCAACCCAAGAAAAAGTTACTTTATTTAGTTGAAAGAAGGCTGTTTTGGTTGTTAGCTTTCTTGACCTCAATTAGTAGACTGATGCAGCACTGAATAGAAGTGTGAGAAACTCATTTTTTCTTTCACAGCTTGAAAACGAGGCATAACAAAATGTAAAATATGACATATTGCTATATATCAAGAGTGATATTGCCATATATGTTACCTATAAGGCGATATATAATTTTCATATACTTATATTCTCTGGGTCGATGAAGATATAAATTTATAACATACGTAAAATCCCCATAGTAAAATGTACATGATGATATAAATGAAAAATGATGAAATATCATCAAAAATTATATGTTATATGGTATTACAAATAGCAACCATATATATCTAATTTAAATATGCAATTTTATTAAAATGACACAGAAAAAAAATCTGTATGTCTATGTATGTTTGTGTAATAATTTTTTTAATGTCATTTTTAAAAATGTATAGCCTATATAAAAAATAACACACACATACATACACACACACATATACTGTATATATATATATATATATATATGCTGTGTGTACATTTATTTTGTACAATGTTTTTCCAATTTAGCTTACTTTTACTTTTATTTAACTTGATTTATTATTATTATTATATTTATCTTATGTGTTGATACATTTTTCTGAAATTAATGTTATTATTCAGCTTATATATATATATATGATTTCTGTGCGGTTACAGCCCTCATTTTCTGAAAAGCACAAATCTTTTAGCAAATATTTCTGTTTTGACAGTAATTGCTTTCATTTCCAGTGTGTTTCTCCTTTGACATATTTGTCGGTTTCTCTCTCGTTACTGGCCGGCGAGGGCCGTCGTGTCAGGGCAGATGTCTCTGTTGCATCACATTGTCGTCTTTTTTTACCACTCCTCTGCGTGTCATTGGTGGCTAACCTTCGAGTCCCCGCCCCCGCTGCCACATTCGCCCTTGTCGTACCACCATTTATTTTTCAATTTGTCCAACAGCCCCTGCTCATTCAGCTTTAACACGGCCAGGTTTACAGCATTTCTTCAACAAACCATAAACATCACATGAGAGCGGGCCGCACGCAGCCCGGGTTAGACGACACAAAACAAACAGAAAACAAGAGAGAACATAAGAGAGCCTCGTGGAAGGCAGCTGCTGTTAATGAGGACTATTATGGGATGTTTCTCTCTCTCTTTCACTCTGATTTTATTCCATCTGTCTTTCAAACTGTAGTGTAGTACTATATACTGAGAATGTAAGTGAGATACTTATTGCATTAAACTAATCAATATTTTCCACCATTGAATATAATGTCAATTTAACAACATTTCTCTCAATTTCTCTGCTATGTACTTTGGTATTGAGCTTTCTGGGATTATCATTTTGTTTTATCTATAAGCGATACATACAGTATGCTGCTGCTTTAAAACAATGCAATTAACAATTTAAAGGGGTCATCGGATGCCCATTTTCCACAAGTTGATATGATTCTTTAGGGTCTTAATGAAAAGTCTGTAACATAGTTTGGTTAAAATTTCTCAATGGTAGTGTAAAAAACACTTTTTTTACCCTTTCAAAAACAGCTCTTTTCAGAGCAAGCCGTTTTGTAGCATTTTCCTTTAAATGTTAATGAGCTCTGCTGACCCCGCCCCTCTCTTCCGAGCTGCTCTCTGAGGGATTGTTTACTTTAGCCGCATTCATTTTGAAACTTGCTAATTAGCACATTATTAGGAAAGGCGATTTGCAAAGATTCATTAAAAAACATTATACTCACTTCTGTAGATGAATCTGGATCACGAATGATTCGTGCGAACATAAACGCATTTATGTAGATCAGGGGAAGCATTCCCTTCAGAAACAATGGTAATCCACTGTGTCTTCAGCGGTTAAGATGTCGGGAGTAAATGTCGACTGCTATATGTTCATTATTACATCCAACAACAAAACACCTCAATCGCTTAGAGGAGTCATTCTTGTCTACATCTGCTCCGGCGGTGAAACAATGGCAGACTGATACATACATGCATGGTGCTGTTTTGTTTCTAATTGTTTAAGCAACTTTATTAACTATATATGGTTTATAAACATTATTTTAAACATTATGCACTTTTTTTCAAAGATAGTCGTGTTATTTTATTACGCTTTGAAGAAACGTGCATAATATTTTGCTCGATGCGCCCTCTTGTGGCCTCAGGAGAGAAGCCAAAAGCTTTTTTCCCCCTAACTGAAATTATGCCTTTTAAATTCGAATATAATTCAAATTTAATATAATTCGAATTTTGATCATATTTAAGTAGAAAATTCGAATTTAGTTATTCAGTCATTTTGACAGGCCTACAACACTGAACGGACCTTTGCTAAGCCTCGCCCACCTTTTCAAGCTCCGCCCAGAGCGACCAAACGCGGCGCAATGCGCGACGAGCGACGGGATTTTAGAAACGGTTTCTATTTCGGTGACCACGTCACGACTGGAAAAAAACAACCTCAAAAACTATGACGATGATAATCTGAAGTTTAATTATTATTTTGCTAACAGTCAAATGACAATTAAAAATGTACCTCAGATCCTGAAAATAAATCGAGAACATTTAAACTGTTAACTTGATGTGAACACTCAAGTGTATTCTATGAAAAAGATAGTTTCAGTAACTCAGTAGCATGTAATTTTAATAATGTTTAAATGGTTTAAAATTGATAAATGAATACTTATCCACGTCATCGCCAGTACAGCGCGCTTGCAGAAATAGCCCCGCCCATACGATCTTCTGATTGGCTGTGATATTTGATTGATTCGTGGAATATCTCATGGCATCTGGTCTTACAGAAAGTCCCGCAGGAATTGAACTTGAGGTTTCTATGAATACTGTACACTGTACAGCAAAATGTGAAACTGAAATTGGATGTTTTTCTTACATGGGCTGTCTCACAATTGTGACCTTGCAATGCATTTTATCTGCTGTTTTTCATTGAAGAAAACTGAACAGCGGCCAACCGTTTCTGTGCCTGCATATCAAAACTGACACTTATTTCGAGTGTAACTGTAGACTGAAGCAAATTAAGATGTTCCGTTGGATGATTTCAGAAACCTGGAGACTCTTACTGACATCAGAGGGAATAAATGAGAGAGAAACAGATGTGAGAGAAACATCCTCAGTGTTTCCACAAGCATGTCACATTTGATGAAGAAATGAAAAATACTGATGATGATATGAAACACTTTATGCTGCACAGTGAAAAAGGCAATTGTCACCAATTTTACTACCACAATGTGACATATTTATGATTTGCAAAACAAGAAAAAATGTAGAGCGGGACTTGATTTGATTCATAGTGAACCGATAAGCTCATGTGTATTCAGAAATTAAATAGCGTCAATTATGTTGACTTTTACTAAGTTACTTTTACTTGAACTGCAAAACATGATTTTCTTACTTAGTATTTTTTGTCTTGTTTTCAATGATAAATATGTAAAAAAACAAATTTAAATCAAGATATATTTACTTCAATAGGAAATTTACTTAACATATTAAGTCTTGTTTTCTGAAAAAATTATTAAAATTAAGTAATTTTTTTGCTTAAAACAAGATGATAAAATTATCTTATTTTTTCTTTTAAATTAGTTAACTTTTTCCCTGCTGACGGATAATTGTTTCTTGCTTTAATCATAAATCACTTAATTTTTAATCATTTTTTTCAGGAAACAAGACTTAATATCTTAAGTCATTATGTGTCTTGAATTAAGAATGTTCAGATATTTATATGTCTACATCTGCTCCGGCGGTGAAACAATGGCAGACTGATACATACATGCATGGTGCTGTTTTGTTTCTAATTGTTTAAGCAACTTTATTAACTATATATGGTTTATAAACATTATTTTAAACATTATGCACTTTTTTTCAAAGATAGTCGTGTTATTTTATTACGCTTTGAAGAAACGTGCATAATATTTTGCTCGATGCGCCCTCTTGTGGCCTCAGGAGAGAAGCCAAAAGCTTTTTTCCCCCTAACTGAAATTATGCCTTTTAAATTCGAATATAATTCAAATTTAATATAATTCGAATTTTGATCATATTTAAGTAGAAAATTCGAATTTAGTTATTCAGTCATTTTGACAGGCCTACAACACTGAACGGACCTTTGCTAAGCCTCGCCCACCTTTTCAAGCTCCGCCCAGAGCGACCAAACGCGGCGCAATGCGCGACGAGCGACGGGATTTTAGAAACGGTTTCTATTTCGGTGACCACGTCACGACTGGAAAAAAACAACCTCAAAAACTATGACGATGATAATCTGAAGTTTAATTATTATTTTGCTAACAGTCAAATGACAATTAAAAATGTACCTCAGATCCTGAAAATAAATCGAGAACATTTAAACTGTTAACTTGATGTGAACACACAAGTGTATTCTATGAAAAAGATAGTTTCAGTAACTCAGTAGCATGTAATTTTAATAATGTTTAAATGGTTTAAAATTGATAAATGAATACTTATCCACGTCATCGCCAGTACAGCGCACTTGCAGAAATAGCCCCGCCCATACGATCTTCTGATTGGCTGTGATATTTGATTGATTCGTGGAATATCTCATGGCATCTGGTCTTACAGAAAGTCCCGCAGGAATTGAACTTGAGGTTTCTATGAACACTGTACACTGTACAGCAAAATGTGAAACTGAAATTGGATGTTTTTCTTACATGGGCTGTCTCACAATTGTGACCTTGCAATGCATTTTATCTGCTGTTTTTCATTGAAGAAAACTGAACAGCGGCCAACCGTTTCTGTGCCTGCATATCAAAACTGACACTTATTTCGAGTGTAACTGTAGACTGAAGCAAATTAAGATGTTCCGTTGGATGATTTCAGAAACCTGGAGACTCTTACTGACATCAGAGGGAATAAATGAGAGAGAAACAGATGTGAGAGAAACATCCTCAGTGTTTCCACAAGCATGTCACATTTGATGAAGAAATGAAAAATACTGATGATGATATGAAACACTTTATGCTGCACAGTGAAAAAGGCAATTGTCACCAATTTTACTACCACAATGTGACATATTTATGATTTGCAAAACAAGAAAAAATGTAGAGCGGGACTTGATTTGATTCATAGTGAACCGATAAGCTCATGTGTATTCAGAAATTAAATAGCGTCAATTATGTTGACTTTTACTAAGTTACTTTTACTTGAACTGCAAAACATGATTTTCTTACTTAGTATTTTTTGTCTTGTTTTCAATGATAAATATGTAAAAAAACAAATTTAAATCAAGATATATTTACTTCAATAGGAAATTTACTTAACATATTAAGTCTTGTTTTCTGAAAAAATTATTAAAATTAAGTAATTTTTTTGCTTAAAACAAGATGATAAAATGATCTTATTTTTTCTTTTAAATTAGTTAACTTTTTCCCTGCTGACAGATAATTGTTTCTTGCTTTAATCATAAATCACTTAATTTTTAATCATTTTTTTCAGGAAACAAGACTTAATATCTTAAGTCATTATGTGTCTTGAATTAAGAATGTTCAGATATTTATACTTGGAAAACAAGATAAAAGTACTGAGGAAGAAAATCTTTTTTTTTTGCAGTGCGCTCACAAATAACTTTCATTAGTGCAACATAATGTTTTTAGTTAATAAGGATGTTTTTAGCAATAAGGATATTTTATTTAATTGTTCTTTTGGATGTTATCATATGAAGACAAAATGTTTTGCATTGTACATACTGCATGCTTCATATGCTATTCAAAAACAGCAGGCTAAATGCAGTAAATACTATGCAGCACGTCAGTATTCACATCCATTGTTTTGTTTTTCAAACCTGTGTGGAGACTCAAACTGTGCAGTGTCTTTCATCTGAAACCTCTCCAAACATCTCATCTGTGGGAACTGTGCAATTTGTTTCTTCATGGGAACGGATTTGGAGAAATATAGCATTACATCATTTACTCACTAATGGATGCTCTGCAGTGAATGGGTGCCGTCAGAATGAGAGTCCAAACAGCTGATAAAACATCACAGTAATCCACAGCA